TCCCTGATGAGTGTGGATGTAGTTTGAATCTACCATTGCCTGAATGTGCGGTGTTTAAGTGACATCTGTAAAATGAGGTGTCTACTGATAGTCTGCATGTGAGGAGTTTAGGTAACATTCTTTAAAATTGTTGTGTCACCGATAGTCTGAAATATGAGACATTCAGGGGACATCTGTGAATTGTTGCATCCACAATAGTCTGCAATGGGGGGGGGGGTTCTTTGATAGCTTCTTTTCCTGGGGCCCCCAGTGTCTAAGATTGCCACTGGGTATTAGCATTAACAGTGGCAATGTTACAGACAGGAAACAGGTTTAGGAGAATCTGGAGAATCAAAGGGCTGCTTTGACAAATAAACCCATGACTTTTAAGACTTCAGATGTGAAAAACACTGTGCACGGTTTATAATATTAGATTTGATGCAAGTTATTAGTGGCAATTACTTTATGCTCCATTGTAACATTCACAAGGTAAAGTGCAAAATCACCATGCTCACGTTAGACGGTAAACTACCAGAAATGTGCCGACACAGAAATGAATATGAATATTTATTTGAATCAATAAAGGGGCTTGGTTTTCTCTTGCAGTGCTTTTATCTGTCTGAACACGATCTAAGGCAGCTGCTGGCCACAACTGTTAACTGTTTTTGTAAGATGACATTCAGAATACCAGGCAACAATCTCATTACCACACTAACTTTTTCAAAGGCCCATTGATTTTATGTTGGCAAAGTTTCTCAGCTCTTAGCCTAAAATGATGCTGAACCCAAAATATATCCTATTAGTAGAAAGTGTTGACCTCCAGTAAGTTTAAAAAGTGGCTGTTAAACGTTAAACGTTTCCACCCTTAAAGAACTACATCTGTCTTTGGCTTTAATAATGTCAAATACAGTTATCACCAGAAACAAAAAAAACATCTCAAACCACTCATACTTTAGCCAAAATATCATTTTCTCTTCGTCACTCAAAGGTGTCACAATTGTTTCCTTAGAAGAGTCTGTCATTGTCATTTTAATTACTTTTTTATTTCACTACTTTTCCTAGCTAATGAGTCTTGTTCAAGAACTGTCTTTAAAGCTCAAGTGTGGAAGGTGCCAAGTTTACCGTAACATTTCCATTTGCCTGGTCAGTTTCTGTCTAACCTAATATATTCAGATCATAAATATTTGAACAAAATATCAGCTCTTTGCCACTTATCTAAAAATATTTGCATCCAAACTGCTGTTGTCCTCTTTCTCTTTTCACCTCATCTGGTTTCCAAAGTAGTAGCGAGTAGTGTGGCCGCATAATTTTCCTCCCTCCTTCTACCCCTGAGAGGGGGTCCCCAACTGGGCAGAAGCAGCCTCCTCTTGGGCAAGAGCGCCACACGGTTTCCCTCCTTTGAAGCCTGCAAGAGGAAGTCACCCAATAGGCGCTCAGATCCCATATGGGCTCCCTTTGAAATACTGAACAGCAGAAACAGGGAAGAGGCAGCAGAGCACGGGAGGGAATAGTCTGCATGTGTAAATGTCAGAGGGATTAGTGTGTGTGTGTGCTCACGAATGTACATAACGTTCATTACACGTGGCAGCTGAGGAATGAAATGTAACCAGACTGAAAGAGAAGTCTCTAAAATCCAGGTGATAAAGCAACAGACACGTTAAAGATCAAGAGCACAAGCAAAGGACAAGATGAAGACGTATCCTGGAGACACGAGAAATCATAATATCAATTGCGCAGGAATTGTAGGTGAAAGGCTACCGTGTGTATGTATGTCCTAATATCCTAACTAGCTAATCAGCTGGTTACCACCTAATCATTTTCAGTCTCATCCGCAGCACCATTAAAACCCGCAATCAGATCATCCCCCCATTCACTCTGAGCTCTGACTCAGCAGATCAACATGCCGCATATGTGTTAAACAGCTGTGCGGAGTGATCACCAATAGGCCAGATGTTGTATCTCGCTCCTCCAATAACAGCGAAAATGAACTAGATTGATTAGAACTCCCATCTGCTGCACTAGCACAGTGTTAATAAGCAGGAGTGTGGAGCGCCCTTCATTAGAGAGGGGAGGTTACCCAAGGCTAAGTGTTCAAAGGCTGTCCCGTGTTATGTGAGAGGAGCTGAGAGGAAGAGGTGAAGCACCGGCCTGCTGAGTGCTGGCACTGCTGAGGTGAGGAAGAGCCGAAAGCAGAGGAAAAGAAAGGGAGAGACTGATGCACTCGGACAGACGGACAGACATGAGTGGGCTTGTTGCAATCAATTAAAATGCACGGGAACGACAGGGGAAATGGTCAAGCATGACGGAGAGCGGTACAGTCAAGCATTTTTCAGAAAAGGTGAAACAGTTAATGTACTAATGCATTTCAGCTCAGCACACAGGAAGTCATTCAGTTTGAAAACTTCACCAGCCAAGAATTAATGTGAAAATTTGAGCTGTCTGTACTCAGTGAATCCCAAGGTGGAGCTGTTAAGGGGAAAACACAAATTTTTCTAACAAAAAAAAAACAGACCACAGATTCTTCCCTTTGGCACAAATTGATCTCTGACAAGACATTCATTGATCTCTTCTATATCTCCTATAATTATATGAGAAACAATGAGGAGTTATGGCAGGGGGAAAAAAATCTGTTTCTACTTACATTGTATCTGTCAAGCCATGGTGTGTATGTGTGTGTGTGTGTGTGTGTGTGTGTGTGTGTGTGTGCGTGTGCGTGCGTGTGCGTGTGCGTGTGCGTGTGCGTACATTCTTCTTACGTCTCCTCACATGAATTGATGAGAGAATACCTGCTGTCATCGCGTATTTGTAATGGGTGACTTGTACTCTGGTTTCATACAGATAGTGGTGCATCATGGAATAATTACCCCCATATAAAAAGGAAAGTCAATTACATCACCATCAGCAATTAATTTGTCAATTGATCTGCTGTCTCAAACATATGTGCTTCCAATGTTAAGAAGTTGCAGTTTTTTTCAGTCGTCTGACATCAGAAGATGTTGTTTGGTGAGCAGTGAGGATTAATTCCCTGAGGAAGGCCAAGGCCAGACTGCTCTTCAGTATTGTCAGTCTTTAAGCTGTTCTTTGTGCAAGCTAATAGCGTAACCTCTTTTTGTACCTTGATTGTTTCTTCTCTGATGCAGTGACACCACAGCACCGAAGAAGAATTGGACATTATTCACTTAAAGATGCTATATGGAAGATTTTTTGTTATCGCTACGTAGCCAACATGAGCATTAACAGCTGTTTACTCACCAGTCTAGAAGAAATGGTGCAAATTCAGCATCAAACTTAATTCCTTTACTCACCAAGAGCTGTCTCCAGCGGTGGATAGTAACGGCAGTCTTAACTCCTATTTTGCTTCTATTTAATAAGTCAGCCATGATTCCAGAACAAGGTCTGGAGTAGGTGAGAAATCGGCTTACTGAGCATCCATATGCAGATTTACAGTGATCAGGTTACTGCAGTGCATATAAACATGTTCCGCAATGACACACGTAACCTGGTTTCTCCAAGACGTACAGTTACTTAAGGGGTCTAAGGCTATATGCTAATTGACAGGATGTTACGTTCACATAGTGGAAAAGGCCTCTCTTATAGTGGCATATACTTAATATTTGAATGTGTTTGGAATCTGTATGGCACCCCCCACACCCCCCCCACCCCCATCAAGAAAAAAATGTATATTATGTATTTAAATGTATTTTTATGCTGGGTGTGTATGACTTCCTTGCACTACTGAACATGATTTGGTAATAAGAGGAACTCAAAAAGACATTCTCTGTATTTATCTCGTCCTCAGATCTGTGACAAGGAGTGGCATTACTACGTCATCAATGTGGAGTTCCCGGTGGTGACGCTCTACGTGGATGGAGTGACCTACGACCCCTACCTGGTGACAGACGACTGGCCCATTCACCCCTCACAGATTGACGTGCAGCTGACAGTCGGGGCCTGCTGGCAGGGTGAGTGTGGCAGAGCCGGGGGACGATGATGATGATGATGATGATAAGTGTTCAGCCTGTGAAGTGAAGATATTCAGTCACTTTTCTTTAATAGAATTTATTCATCCTGCGCACAATTAAAAGTGAAACAGTTCAAGTGAAGCAAAAGTTTTAATATAAAAGTCACAGTAAAATGAGGTATTTTGGCTTTTCTGCTGATTGAATACTTCTGCTACGTGCGAGCAAGTTCAAGAATATAAATAATACCGTCTGACGTATTATTACTAAAGGAGTCATTGAGTGTTGAACATGTTCTTTGGCCTTGAATGAACAATGTAATTAAGAAGAGCACTTAGTCTGCTTTTGACAAACGATTGAAGCAGTCTGAATGAAGGCGTACAATTAAACTGTCCTCTAAACTGATAGCTGCCACTAATTGCACAAGGGTAGAAGAAAGGGCACTTTTTCACACAGCACAGCCTACCGTTGATTTGATAGCCTAAATGAGACTGCTCAGTGATGCTTAGCCTTAGATAAAGAGTCAAGATATCTTTCTGTGTGGGAGCAGGAGCAGGTCATTTCATGTCGCTTTCATCTGCGGCGGTGACTCCTCCACACCACCACCACCACCCCCCACCCACTCCTCCTCCTCCTCCTCCCCCTCCTCCCATTTCTTTCATTGAACACTGCAAGCCTTAAGGAGGATTAAAAGGGCCTTGAATAGAAGAGGGAGTTCAGAGACTATTTCTGCTTTTCTAGTTTGGGGCTAAGCCTCAGTAAAGAGTTGTAAAGGCAACACTGAAATCTTAACATAAGCCATTAGCCACAGCGGCTCGCCTTTTCAAAAGTGCTGAGATTTAAGTGTCCAGCATCTTGATTGCAAACACGTCGCAAAGATGAGCTCATTTATTGTCCGACTGGCTCCTGAAAAGCCTCAGCTCTGAATGTGATGAAAAGAAATTCAGCGTTTGCAGAAGCGCAGTGGTGGGGTTACCTCTGCTGTCTGCAGCTCATGTGATGACTTCATGTTTAGACAGGATGTGACAAGATGGAGTATGCACATGGACGGCTGAGTAAATAAAAACATTTGTCAGCTCAAAGCAGTTGGGGTTGCACGCAACAGTGATATTTTTGCAATATTTAATTAAATTTCACAATGTAGTTTCATGGTTCATAACGCTTAACTGGCTAGTCAGCATTGTCTAATGGAAATAGATTCTGTCCCGGCCACAGCAAATAAATATAATTTAGAATAATCATAATGCAGATATTTATCCAAAGAAACCATTACAGTGTGATGTGGTGAGATTCAGCCAGTGTGTAAAACCTACCTCAACCTGTCATTATGGGCTGCTACAGCACATGAATCAATTTTTATTAGTGGGGCAGTTTTACAACATGTCTGCACAGAAGGCATGAGGCGTGAGCAGCTCTGGTGCTCCATGTGGCTCTTCACAGGAGGCGTTCAGGCACAGTAGTGAGTTGTTACACAATCGCTGTAGTTATGCATGTAAAATGTAAAAAAACAGACTTGTAGCATTAAAATAGCGTTTATGGATGTATAACGTATGTAAAACATGAGACCATTAAGTGGCCTGTGTATCAGTCTGAGATACTGTAAAGTATCAAATTATATTTTCTGCTTCCACATAACCACAAGGTTGAGTTTCATCATCTGTCTATAAGGTATGCTTTCACACCTAATGTGCTTGGTTCAGTTTGAATGTACTGGCCAGTTTGGTTTGGCTTGTTTAGGCTGGTGTGGAAGCTGTCAATCAAACTCCAGTGTGGACTAAAAACCCAAGAGGACTCTGGTGCGGTTTATTTGTGGTGTGAAAGAGAAGCAGATAAACGACAGGACCGTGTGAGAGCAGATGTGTGGTTGTACCAATATATTCAGAAGCTAAGATACTGTTAATCTATCTGCTGACCTTGAACCATTGACAAAGTGATCTGCTGATCTCTATAAATGATGCACTGTATAGACTCTTTTTTCTCATACGATCATTGTGTAACCATGGAGATGGGTTTTCACATCACCAAGTTAGTGCAGGAATTTTCCCTGATAAATAAGATGGTAAAAAGGAGCCAAAACAAGCCTATACTGTATATAGTATTACTCCATGTATTTTAGCAGTTCCAGTAAGAAGTGTCGTTTGTGCGGTCATACATTTTGTGCTGCATGTGGATGTCCATTCATGCAAACCCTCACTGGATGTGCACTGATGACCAAATTAGCGTCAGAGGACACTGACAACTAAGTAGAAAGAGGAAGTTTGAAGAGCCCAGGTGTAATTGAAACTAGATTTGGAAAAAGAAGACATTAGCTTTCAGTCTGTGTACAGTCCACACCAAGTGATAACCTATTGGGCTGAGAGATCACGGCAGCGTAGATGTGCCAAAAACTGGTATGGCCGCTTTGAGTGACACGTGGGTGAGCGTATGCTTGCCACAAACTGGTATGCAGTCTCAGCTCCACACACGCCCCGCCTCTTTGTATAATTTTGGATTACCTTGGAGTTATCTGTGGGTGATGACTTTATACAGTCGACACATACAGTCGTTTGTGGACATGCGATGCTGGACGTATTAGTGGAGTACATATTAAAAGAACTAATATTCTAAACTAACCTGCAGGTATCTGTGGATTGCATTGCTCATCAACACACATGAAGAATAGTTGTTAGTATGACTCCCTGCAACAGCAAAGCACTGAATTCTCCGGCTACAACGTGTACATTTGTGCATTTCTATTCTCTCCTGTTTTCTAACAGAAGTGTTGCCCCTGCTCGTTCTTCTTCCTTCACCTCGGGGAGTAAGTGCTGGCAGTGCACTTTTCACTCAGTCAACTTCTATTTTACCCTCTGACCTGGCGGAGTGTGTCCGTGTTCAGAAGCGGGTGGCTGTCAGACAGCGAAGAGCAACACACTCCTCTCGTCTCGTTCTTCTTTTCCCTCTGTGTAATGGCACACTGCTGCTCTGCCTCCGGGGCCTCCAGCAGGGAACATGCATGAAGACGCGTTGATGATTACACACATGCACAAATTGAATCAGTGTGTACAGTGTAATGAATAAATACAGACACACAGGCGCTGATACAGGTACTCGTACAATCAATCACACAGTTAAGTGAGACTATCGCTCACACTTCCCCTTAAATGATGATCCTGTATCCAGCTCAACCCATGCCTCTGCAGTCTCATCTGTTGCTCTTGTGGGAATGACGCAAATAAAGCAGAGAAAAAAGGGGAATGAAGATCTATAGAGCAAGGAGGGCTGCACACAGCAAGGCAAAGAGAGCTGACACCATGTAAAAACCAGTCTCTGTAAAGTGGAATGATCAGCGGTTTTATCACCCGTATCATTCCCGCTCCGCAGCGTCTCGGTAATCCCCTCTCCCCCTGCCTCTCTTTTTTTACCCTCTGTCTGAGACCTTTAATGGTTTCTCTGGCCACGGCCTAAATTGATAACATCTGTCAGGGAGGGACGGAGTGGATAGGTGGATATCTAGAGAGAGGACAGGAAATAGGGAAGAAAATAGCTACTGAGTCATAAGGAAAGGAGTGGAGAAGGAGGGGGGTAGAGGTGAGGCGTGAAGAAAGAGGAAAGAATGGGTTTGGCATACTTTGGTATATGAGAATCCAAATATGATCCAGTGTTTTTATGAGATAGACTCCATTCCCCTGATTATCTGGTACCTGGCAGGACATCAGCAAAAGCAGGAGATGGCTTTGAATACACAAAATAAGTGTGGTTATTGCACTGATCTGAGTTGGATAACCAGCATTCTATCAAAGGGCAAGTGAGATCAGCTTGGTCCTGCCTTACCAAAGAAGAAAATGTATTGGACACTGATACAGTGTTGATATTGTGCTAAACACTCAGAGAAACCAAATCTTGCAAGGCTAGATGGTGGGTCCAGACCGGCGGGGCTTGGGGCATGGCTGAGGGCGGTGACTGCTTTGTTGTGACATCACAAAGTTACAGAAGTCCTGACGGCTCGTTTTAAGGCTCAGTTTCTGGATACCGGCTGTGTGCATTTCTCTGTGGACTGAGCGCTTTGATATTTTCACAGTATTAATATAGAACCTAGACCTGCTTTATAATTTTAAAAAAATGAAAAAATGAATAGAAATCTCACTCTCTACAATACGGGGCCTTTAAAGAAAATAGCATTGTGTTATAAGGTAGAGCTAATTTAGTCCTAGTATTTATATGTATGCTTCGGAAAGACATGAAATCAGACTCTAAGGAAGAGTTTAGGTTGCCTCCATATTTCCATTTAGATATCTATATTTCTGCTTCTGCCCAGTCAAGACAAAGGCTTCATCATTCTCTTGTCTGTTAAGCCAGGCAGGCAGATGACAAGCCACTGGGTTAATAGGCTCCCTTGGGTAGATGACATCAACTGGTAGGACTCTGTTATCTGCTCCAGGGGGGATAAGGGAGCTCTACCCAACTTGCCTTAGTGCACAATATAGCTGTAGGTCAGCAATAGTAGGGATGATTCTAAGCTGAAGGTCTTTTTCTGTCACGTTTTCACACCAGGAAAGTAGGGCATGATAAAGTATTTCCAGCAGTGGTCAGCTCCACCTGCACTGACTGACTTTTTCGCACCCTGGAAACATCACACAGGCCAGTGATAAATGTGCTTGTACCTTTAGCAGGAAATTATGGGTTACCTGGGTCAAGCTAAGCAATGTCTGATGAAGCCAAGGGGTTCTGAAATGAGTATTTCCCCCAACTCCGGTTACTGTCGGATACAACAGAGCGCCTCTTCAGTCATCAACTGGGTTGCCTGGTTCACAGACTAAAATCAGCTCCTCCAGCAAACACTAAGAAGGACAACCCTGGGTGGATTGGAAGTAAAGTGGATTTACTCTAGTAACCTCCAAGAAGGCATTGGCTAGCAATGCCTTATTCTTAAAGCTGAATCTCGAAGGTTACCCTCATAAAGGTATAACGGTTTCGCAAGAAACGCTCTATTATTAAGATTGTGAGAGGAGCTCTAATATATCAACATATTCATTTGTTATTATTATTTTCATCCTGGCAGAGCTGAGGCATTGTTTTGACTCATGACAGTGGAGCAGAGTAGCAACTGACAAACTGACAAATTTCACTGTCACCGCTTTGGCCCCCACTGCATCTATCATCCACAGGTCCTCCAGTGCCCACGTATGACCCTTCAGGTTGAGGCATTGGACACCCATCTGCCACAGCCACACAATACGACTGTATAGTTTCTCAACTTGTGTGGGCTACCTGGTGTTTAAAAACGTATTTGTCTGCAATGAGACAATGATTTGAATCTTGTGCAGAGCTGTGATGTTTTATAGCTACTGACGCTCCAGGAGAAGTAAGACAGATTGGTTCCATTAGAGCGATTAGATGGGAATAATCAGAAAAAAAGTGACAGAGCTGGCTGAACCAGATATAAATTGTACAGGGAGCCTTTAGAGGTAGAGTGATCTCTACAGCCTGTTTACCATATGCATGGGTTGAGGCAGTCCAATTTGTTCAGCAGTAAAAGGATGCTTGAGCTAATAAAATCTGTTGTATCTGGGAGGCCACTCAGCAAACAACCACAACACAGAGCCTAGTGTTGTCCAGCCAGGTAGAAAAGTCCAGACAGGTGTGCACGGGATCCGGAGGGTGAATCTTCAGCAGCTGGCTATAAGGTCAGAAGGTGGTGTAGAGGAGGAATGGAATTAATTGGTTTCTTCGGTGTGGTTATCACCTGGGAACGACATATACCAATGAAACACCAAACCTGGTTGCCTAAAGATGTTCTTTAATGTAATAATTTTATCATATGTTATTGTTATCACCATATTTTTTTTTTACCTCTTCTCCTTTTTAAAATGTAATGCAGCGACACATTTACTCAGAGTACATTTTAACTGAAGTGCTTTGCACTTGTATCTGAGTTCATCTTTACAAAAGTAATTTTACTTGTGCTTGAGTAAAATTTCTTTTCAGTAACAGTGCTTCTACTTGAGTACAATTTTCCAGCTCTCTTTCCACCCCTGGTTTAGAGCAAAAGGGAAGCTATAGCTTTAGAAACCTATAGAGAATGTACATATAATGCCAAGGTGCTACATGCATCGACATCTGAGTGATCGGATGCTTCTGCTCTCCCAATGCTTGCAAATGCAGTTTACAACAATTGGCCTTAAGAGTGTAAGATCACTGAACCACTTCCCTCATGTGCACTGGAATTGCAGCATACAGTGGCTGCAGTAGTGAAGCCAGTAGTGGCTTTTCTTTAATACGTAGTAAACAGACAAGCATGCACAGGATGATAAACACAGCAACTGGCATGTGGACAATAGAAGATTATGTAGAGTTTTTGGATTTTAGATAATGACACACTGCAGCAGCGAAAAAAAAAGTATCAAAAGAATTAAAGTGATTGTTAGTGATTGTTGTTGAGCGGATGTATGAGGGAACAAAGTGACACAGAAGTGTGATGAGAGAGGCGAGATAAATAAATTGATAGAGAGACGGAGAGACGGTTTCTTGGTAGCCTCCCTATTTTGTCTTTGCCCATCAGTCATTGCTCCACTGCATTCTCCTGATGTTTTGGATGTATGGACAAGGTCAAATTTTTTTTATTTTTATAACAAATGTTATTAGATGAAGGGAGTGTTCTATACCTTTAGTGCTTTGGTGGAATAGAGCCAGAATGGGAGAACACCAAAGACAAGAGAAGAGGAAGTGAGGAAATAAATAAAAGGAAAGAAAGGAATGGTAAGGTGTTTTCATACCCAGAGCTAGTAACCTTTCAGCTAATGAGTGGTTTGGAGACTCCTCTTGGTGGTATTGGCCTTTATGGAGTTCAAAAGAACTTTAAATGTGTTGACTTTTTCTTGTTTAGCCTGGGTGGGCCGGCTGGGTAACACTTGCACTTTTACAGCAGCATCACAAAACATGCATGTTAAGGCCAATTTTAACCATAATTTGGTCATCAGGACTCATAATTAACGACTTGACAAGGTCACTCTTAGTTTGATGATGTCATAGTGTGTTAGGGCCGTACACCAGTAGAGACAAATGTAGTGATTACTGCAGATTAACCTTAACCCAGGAATTTAATATCCACTACTACTTTGACGTTTCTGTGACTCATTGTAATGGTTTCTGAGAAAGTGGAGTATCAAGGCATTTTAATGAAATATTTTACTCTATGTGTGTGTGGTGTTGTGCATGTAGGTGGGGAGGTGACCAAGCCACGGTTCACGCAGTATTTCCGGGGCAGCTTATCCGGACTGACCATCCGACCAGGGAAGATCGAGAGTCAGAAAGTCATTTCCTGTCTGCAGGCCTGCAAAGAGGGACTGGACATCAACTCCCTTGAAAGCCTGGATAAGAACATAAAGGTATACATGCACACACATGAGGTGCTCCAAAGGCTTAGACTGCAGCAAGAAGTCTGACTTCCAACCCGGAGTTACAATGATACAGATCACATCAGTTTACAGTGAAGAGGATGCACATTTGAAGAGATAGGAGCAATATACACAGGACAAAACTACTTTGTAGTCACATAGATCCACATGTCCATGCACACAAACACACATTCATGGTACACATATACACAAACACTCAAGCCTCATTTATTTTTCATTGCTACACATCTCCGTTAGAATAGAGCATAACAGTGCCGGTACTTCAACACTGAAAACATTGTCCTTATACTCTGTGAGACTTCTCTGTTGGATCACCACTAAGCAATTATCTGTATTTCCTCTTCAAAGTTTCCTCCTCAAAGTTTTATAACATTCATTCACTGACTTTTACCTGAAATAGCCTCCAGATATAAAGTATATGCCAGCTCTGTCAGCGTTACTTTGGCTTTAAAATTCATCTTAAAGGAAAAGTTTGTCATTTGCTTTTCTGCTGAGAGTTAAATAGGAAGCTACAGCCAGCAGCTGAAAAGCCAATGTTTGCATTAAGACTGAAAACAGGAGGTCTCTAAAGGTGGCCTCCAGGTAGTCCAGGAAGTCACTTCTCCTGTCTGAAAAAAATAGTCCTGCAGTTGTAAAACCATAACGTGTCATTTTTACACATATTTTTGTACAGATGAAACACACAATATTTAACATGTTAATTAGTGAAGTTTAAAGATGCTACTAGGTGGATTTTGTCACTTTGAGGCAAGCTGTTTCCCCTTTTTCCCAGTCTTTTGCTAAGCTAAGCTAAGCTAAGCTAAGCAACCCAGCTGCTGGCCATAGCTTTATATGTGCAATCGCATATTTCCCAAAATGTTACTACTTCTTTCCAGCAGCAGTGTTTGAAAATGAAACATACATTTTCCTCTGGCGTGTGCACAAGCAAAAACACAATATTTGATCCCAGCTGACACAAGAGTACTATTTCTTTAAATCACCACAGGTAAATCACCAGTTGGCTTCCTTGAAACTCCTCAGCTACCCCACCTCCCCACCCCACCCCCCCATTCACTGGCTCAGCTAATCCATCTCCCTGCATTGTGGAAGATAGAGAGCAGACAAGATGGATGGGGGTTTGTGTAGACTCAAAGCCTCCACCCCACCACCCCTCCTATCCACCCACCTATCCACCCAAACTCAGCCCCTCTAACTCTTTTTATATCTTTCTTTCTTTACACTTCCCCTCTTCCTCTCTCTCTAGCTGCTCTTTCCATCCTGTGGTGCAACAAAGAGATCTTTGCCAGCCTTTTGAGAAGACACACGGTGGGATGAGGTGGGGGATATGGGAGAGGAGAGGAGGACAACCTCTCTAGGGCCAGTGTAGTTTATCTTTTGAGAGCTATTTCATTTTCTTCTTCGCCGCACACTAGTCTGGCTCCCATAAGTCCTCAGGGGGCTTAAGGACAGCATTTAGCCAAACAGATGGAGGGCTGGCACAGCACAATCAGAGGAGAATAACATGGAGGAAAGGAGGAGGTAGAGGCAGGTGGCAGCAAGTATAGTGACAGAGAACGGAAAATGAGAGAAGACAGCAGGAGAAGAAAAGGTGTGAAGGGGAAAATGACAGGGAAGAGGGAGTGTGTGGAGAGCCCCATGGAGAGTTGAAATACTGCCAACCTGCTGCTGAGAGCCAGTTGAGGAGATGGGGGACCTCAGTGTAGTTATAGTAGGAAACTACTTAGCCATCTGTAAAGGAAGGACCTCAAATGCCTACAATCAAACGCTGGAGACACACACCCCTTTCAAAGTATACTTGTGAAGAGAATCCACTGACTACTCTCTAGTCCACTGACTTAAGGGCCATACCAGTGTTTTCTTCATCTTTTAGGTCATTTATTTTATTATTATTCTCCACCATGTCTTCTAGGCACACACTGGTTTCCATTCATTTCCATCCAGGATGAAAATCCATCTACAAAGGCCTGAAACCACCTTAAAATAGGTGATCCATCACAGTGGATAATGGAATCACACTGCTGTTGCATGGTGATGCAGTGCAAACAATGTTCGCTTTGATGGATCATCAGATTCAAGCCTCTGCAAACTGATGGTCATACTACTGCACGGTGAAATGAATAGAAATCAATGGCTGTCTGAAAGTTAGCAAGAATCGATCACCATCACATGCTCATGAAGGGTATTGACCGTTAAACATTTTTTTTTGTCTTGACCTCAAACTCACTTCTTGTTGACATCAGATAGACATGTTTTTGGGATATGCAACACTAAATCACGTACCAGCTGACATGATAAGGGCCTTAAAGCTCTATTTAATATTTCTGTATTAAAAATGGATTAAATAGCTGTGTAGAATGTGCCACTGGTTGCTTCGTAACTAACCCACAGAGAATCATCAGCAGACTCTACAGCTCTCCTCAGCACTGCAGGACACTTTAGCCTCTTTGAGCTTATTGTTTTGGTTCACTCTCACCGCTCTCATCTGTGTTGTTTCCAGTAGCAACAGGCAACTCTGATGAACCCACTGTACAATACCTGTCCAGCATCAAACAGGAGCCGGACAAAGATCGCAATTAGCTGGTGAACAAGCACTGAGCAGTTATCTCTCTCTCAAATTAAATCGAAGGCAACTGGACTTGTATTTGTCTGTGGAAGACGTTTCGCCTCTTATCCAAGCGGCTTCATCAGTTCTTATGTATTGGTCTCTCTAGTCCGCACTAGTCTGACCAAGTCTGACCAAGTCTGGTCAGACTAGTGCGGACTAGAGAGACCAATACATAAGAACTGATGAAGCCGCTTGGATAAGAGGCGAAACGTCTTCCACAGACAAATACAAGTCCAGTTGCCTTCGATTTAATTTGAGAGAGAGATAACTATGACCTGGACGAATGAGAACATTCACAGACAAAGCACTGAGCAGCTAAAGAGCCGAGAGATATTTCCCTCAGGGGTTAGTGGACACCACCGTAGCCAAAAACATGCCATCAAATGAATGCAAATGTTTTGCTCTGTGTCTGCTGGATGTGAAAATAAAATGTGGTATTTTTGCCATAATAACTTTATCAGTTTACAATGTGTGCTATAGTGGCCAGAAGAGTCAGTTATAGTAGTTGTAAGGTGTGTTGTGCTTAATTACCTCATATAAAAGTTTGTCTCGAATTGGGTCCCTGTGTCTAAATGTGATTTTAAGACCATCATTATTTCAGTTTTGTGGTTATATTTTGCTTTTTTTTCTAAATGAATGGGTTTAATCAAGTAACCACACAGCAGATCTGGAGTCTGGTCGTATTCCAGCATAAACAAACTGCTCATATTGCATCTGTGGGAAGCAAGCAGCTTATTCTTGCCAAAGGGCCCACTGCAGGTTAACTTGGCCATGTAATTGGCCTTCAGTTGTTGTACGCAGAGATTTCCTGCTCGTGTCCACACCTGACACCAGGCAGGGAAAATCTAAAGCATCTCAATTAGAAGTGACTGAGTGCAGCTTCAAAGCTTTCTTGTTAACATTTTATCCATCTAATATCTGTTTCCTCTTTCCATAGTTCCACTTTAACCCAGCCCAGTCCATCCTGGTAATGGAGGGAGAGGACTTGGAGAACATGAATGCTGCTGTGAGGAAAGTTTCATACATCAACTCTCGCCAGTTCCCCACACCGGGCATCCGACGTCTGCGCATCTCCACTACTGTCCAGTATGTAAAACACTTACAGTTGCTTTTCTCTTTGATTTTTTACTTTCATTCACCTTGTCTGTCTCCCTCTTTTATCTACATTGCTAAATTTAGTTCCTTTCATCCTCTCCCTTCTCCCAGATGTGAAAAGTATTAACCCTCTTCAACGCCTCTGTTGAGTGTTAAGACAACACTACAGATATCACAGCCTAACTGACATCCCTTATCACACAATGATCCAATCCCCTCCTTCTCTCTCTCAGTCCTCTCTCTCTCTCTCTCTGTTTCTTCTTTCCTCTACTGTCACTTTCCTTTTCCTTTAATACCCCATTTTCTGCTCTTTATTGCCACCGGGGGCCAGTTTTTACATTTTCATGTCATGTATTAATAATTCTGCCTGGATTTTGCCAAGAATGAGGAATGAGATGAGAGAAAGAGAGATATAAAAAGAGAGATTGTGTGGGGGACAGAGAGAGAGAGAAGAGAGAGGAAGAGAAGCTAGCTGGTACAACAGCCTCCCTCAGTGGGTTACCATTAAAATTCATGATTGTTTTAAATATATGTAGACCCCTGCAGCACAGCCCTGGGGGTTCACTCTCCGCCCTCCTGTTGGGTTCGATGCACAGCCGCAGGCCCAGGAACTTCATCTAACACAGCAGAAGCAAATGTGTGTGTGTGTGTTTGTGTTTGTGTGTGCGTGCACGTGGGTGGGTGTGCTGAACAGGCTGCTCGTGATGAAGCACAGTCATCGCAGTGAGAGGCACACCAATTATCAAGGAATACATTATGCTAATGACAGCTAAGCTTGCATCATTGCTAAATGTTGTTTAAATTAAGTTTTTCTCACCGACTCTGACTGGCCTGCTAGCTGCGGTAGTTGTGTGTGCATGCATCATGGAAACAGCGTGGCTAGTGTGTAATGTCCATATGAGAACACATGCACAGACTCATTGATAAAGTGTAGTTAAGCTCCCACTCTGTTGCTTTTACGTTCTCATCCAGCACAGACACCAAGAAAATATCTTCCCCTCATGTAAGTTATTTACGCTGAGAGCCTGAAGCATGGCCTTATGTCATAACATGCCACAGACAGCATCAGTCCACACAAGTAAACAGAGATGCTAAATAATTCCCGGCGATGCAATTGAACTTGTTAACACTTCATAAGTGCAATTACTGCAGGCACTGAGAAAATACTAACAGAGCTAATCTTAACAACAACCCTTATGAGCTCCCCTCTCATATTTCTTCTTTGGGACTGACTCATTCCCTTTCTCCTGTGGAGAGTGGTTTAGAGACTATAAGCTTACAGAATAAACATTCACACACAAATAAGCATATTAATTTTTTTTTTTTTAAATAAATCATTGAAAATGTGTCATTCTCTTCTTCCACCCTCTTCATGTCAGACCCCAAATAGAAACTCCCTGCACACCTACGCAGATGTTTTCAATTCACTGATTAGACCTCTGAGTTCACCAAACTCCACGAAGCCACAGGAACAATAAAGGTGCAAGTTCCGCCACCTTATTAAGTGCAACAAGGTTAACAGGAGAGGGAGATGTCTGCACACACCCACACAGTACTGAGAGTAGGTCTAACTAGGTGAGTTTAAAAGAAAATAAGTAAAAATTATGGAAAATATATCTTTTTTTGTAGTATCCTAACCGTTTTACAATTTATTAAAGGTCCAATATTGTATTAAGGTAGATTTCCATGTCTTTTTTGATTATAAAGCAGGTCTAGGTTCTATATTGATACTGTGAAAATGTCAATGCACTCAGGCCACAGAGAAATGCACACAGACTGTATTCGGAAACTGTGGCTTAAAACGAGCCATTAGTGCTTCAATAACTTTGTGATGTCACAACAAAGCAGTCATCACTCTCATGCCATGCCCCAAGCCCTGCCCACCCGCACCCACCATCTAACCTTGCAGGATTTGGTCTGAGAGTTTACCTGAAATCAACTAAATTTTTATTTGATCACTCAGAAAACAGGCAGCCAATCAGAAAAGAGGCTCAGAGCCTCCTCTCTTCTGATTGGCTCACCTGTTGTTGTTAGAGTTGCAGAGAGGAGCCAGAGAGAGAAGATATAAAACTACATTGAGATTATTTTTGGTACTTAAAATATGGGACATTCATTTCATTTTTACCTGAATACCTAAACATACAGCCTATTTTGATCTTATTTTAATTTTATATAAATATGTTGGAAATTGGTTTTAATTGGTGTAAGTGGTCAGAAGAAGAAAGAAAAATTATTACATCTGGAGGTGCTAATTTAATGACATAGATGACGAGAGCTAGTATTGTGACACATAAATAAGAATGACCAACATTCTTATAGACACAAACTTATACTTTATAAGCATTCACAAATATAATGTATGCACTGTATATCCATAATGTTTGAGATAAAAGAAAATGATGTGAAATGATGCTACCAGATGAACTGGTGATTACTGTGTAGTGCTGAAGGTGCTGAGATAGTAAATCTGTCTCTGTAATTAATGATTAGATTTTATGAGGCATTTACAGGGGTTTGTATAGATGGTGTTTTTGGCTTTTTGTTTCCCCGTGTGAGATAAAAGATGAGTTCAGAGATTAATCATAATTCATCAGTAAAATGAGGGTTGAAGGTTTTTAGTTATATCAGAGATAAATGCAACTTTTCGAGTCACTAGAAAAATGAATGAATTTCAATTTTTAGGTATTTCCTATATTATAGACACAGCTTTGCAAAGCTTTTGCCTGCTGCCACTGCTGTGTGATCGTGTTAGCCTCTGAGACTGTGTCTGTGACCAGTGTGCAACTTGTGCTTACAGCAGCAATTTCCTGTATAGAGCCTCATTGATAACACGAGTGATTGAACTTCCAATTTGTTGTTTTAGTACTCCATCCAGAGCAGACAAAAGATTCTCCTCATCTGAGTTATTCACCCTCAGAGCCTGAAACATGGCCTCCCGCCATGACATGTCAGCAACTGCTGGAAAAAACCTCCCCTCCCTCCTACAGACAGCATCAGTCTACACAAATAAACAGAGCTGTTAATTAATTCATCCAAATGCAATTAAATTTGTTGCATGCTGACACCTAATAACTGCAATTACTTCAGGCATCTAGAAAATAAACGTAACCGGTTCTTGTCTTTGCAACAGCCCTTTTAGGCTCACATTTCTTTATAATTAAGTTGGACTGGCTCCAGGTTTTGTTTTTGTTTTTTTGTTTTTTCAGCTCAGCGGGTCCATGCAGCAGCCATCTCTCTGCGTCACTGAGTTTGTATCTCCCACTGCTGTCAAGAATGGCTTAGTGCCCGAGCAGCGAACAGACACACACCACCAGTCGTTGCTACAAGAGAGAAGAAGAGACAACACGATGCCCTGAAACCTGTTTTTGTCTCAAAACGTGGCCTCAGACAACTGCAAAGGATTAGGGACAATAGTTTAGTTTCTCATCCAGCTGTCAGGCATCAGCTGAATTAAAGCCACTAAGTAAGCTTTCTGAATGTAGAACTACGCTTGAAGCACGTCTATCATGAATTTCAGTCTTCAGATGTTTTGGTCTCTCTGAAGACCAAAACAAAGGAAAACAAAAGGAAAGTCCTTGGCAGTTTTCTAATAGCTCAGCCAGTGGTAGAACCAGGGCTGTTTCTGGCCATTTTAGTGCCTGAGAGAAAAAAAGATCCCATCATTACAACAAATAGAATGATTAAATCCATTAGTGCAATGGTTCCCAACCTTTTCTAACTCATGGCCATGTTGAAAATGTTGGTGACCCTCATCCGCCCCCGTAACAATACTAAAGCCAAATAATAGCATTTCTCAGAGCTCTTTTTATTTTAATGATAACAATCAAACATTCAGGATTGAACTGAAGGCAGGGGAGACATGTTGGAAGGGGAGGTCACTTGTCGATTCACCATCTGTCTCTTGATTCTCTTTCCTTTTTATTCCTTCTGTTGCTGACCAGTTATCCATTTTGATACTCCAGTCTTTGCCATGCATGTAATCTTTTAGCACGGAATCAGCCAGACAATCAGATTATTTAAAAACTTTTTTTTTTTTTTTTTACCAAAATTGTACTGTCATGCAAATGGTCAGTCTGCCCACTTGCAATACTTTCACAGCCCACAGGTTGGGAACCACGACATTAGTACTTTTAAATGCACATGAGCGTCCCTGTTATTAGTCTCATCCCGATTATAACATAAGAAACCTTGTAAATATTATCTCTGTATAACTCAGGTGTCTTTGTCTGCTCCACACACCTGTCTGAAGGCACACTGTTGCTCTCAGAGAGGTTTCTCAGTCACATTTACAAGTATTTACAAGTCAGCAACTCGCAATTACAATGATTCTCAAATGACTGGAATTCAGCATAAGCCCAAATATGCACCTACGAGGTGTAACCTGATAAGGCATTTTACACATTGATTGCACAGAGTGTGTGATCACTCATGCTAAGCAAATATTTTATAGAAAACTTCTGGATCAACTTGAAGTTCAGCCAAACCTCCTTTTACTGCCATTTCCCTCCAGTTTTTCTATATCTATTCATAAAGATTCACCCAGCTAGAGTTGGGAAAACATATGGAGATTCATCACATGTATTTATGCATAGTTCACATCAGAATGTAGCTGGGAAAATACTGGACGCATGACACCACCACCGCCATCATCATCATGCTCAATACCCTCCCACCCACCATCATTTGCGTGAATATTGCAGATCTGTGTGTGTGTGTGTGTCTGCTCTCCCTGCGTGCCTGTGTTGTGAGCTCAAGTCCTAGAAAGGCGATATGTGTTCATGCGTCCATTCAAGGTTGCCAGTGGATGCAGTGCATTTAAACACATGCTATCACACGCTGACAGGCGGGCAGGGAGGCAGACATGCACGTATGAAAGCACAGCGGGCCCACTGCTGCAGGTCTGTATCTGCTTCCTGAGCACTGACAGAGTGTTTTACCCCCTGAATATCTGCATGCACTGTGGTTTGGATTGGAGCTTAACAGCTGTGGTTTTAGTGCAGCCAAGCGGTCTTGTTGCTGTTGATAAGCTTTATTAGCTGCTGTAATGTTCCACGGTTTTACGTTCTGTTGCTGCCTAGGTATACAGCAGCTTGTGTGCGGGCCAGGGCTTTTATAGAACGTCTTCAAGTGCTCCTCTGTGCCCTCTGTCACCCGTCGGTGCTGTGTATCAACTGGATGGTCCCTAATGTTTATTTCCACTGAACATGTTTCAGCCAGGTTGACACAACTGCCAGCAGAACCAGTTTGATTTTTTTTTTAAATTCCTCACCCTGCTGTCATCCTCCTCTTTCATCTCTCTATCTGCAGGTGTTTTGGTGAAGACACTTGTATCACCATCCCTGACATCGATGCAGTGGTGATGGTGCTGCAGCCCAGCGAGCCCAGGATCACCATCACTGGGGTGGAGAGACTGAGCCGGCCAGCGTCTGACCTCAGAGCAGCAGGCGGCATAGCTCTATTCCAGGACCTCCACATCATCAGCACAGTGACCAGGGCAGATGCCACGGCACATCACACAGGTATGGACTGAAACATATAGTGTCAACATCTACACTGACTAAGGACTTATGGTCTTATGTATAGATAAAAACAAACAGGTTGGATAGACTATATCGAAAATATGGGCCCCAAAGTACAACCTTAATGCAACAAAAGTGAGTACACATGTGATTTCCAGTTAAGGCTAACTGCATGAACAAGGTTATATAAAGTCTATAGAGTTGTCATTATGGTTCCACATGGTAAGAAATTGCCTGAACAAGAAGGAAACCAGATTGTGAGACTTCAGAGGAAAGAAGAAGGTAGAGGGAACAAGAGCATCAGTAGGCTGCTCAACATAAGCTGAAACACAGCAGCTGCAGTGGTAAGGAGCTACAGGAAGAGCCATAAAACCAGTAATAGAAGGTGCAGTGGCCATCCTTGAAAAATGACAGCACACAGTTTACTGTTTACACAACCTTGCACTGAAAAACTGGGTAAGTGCTTCTGACTTTGCACAAGGTTTATCTGTGGAAACTGGTGTCTCAGTGACTAATAAGACAACACAAACTACATCGCATCAAACCATCCTCTGTGGACAGCATCCAAGAAGAAAACCATTACTCATGAAAACGCACAAAACAGCAGGATTAAACTTTTTTGCCAAACAACTTGAAAAGAGGCTTGATGAATGTTGGCAGCACATCCTTTGTTCAGATCAGAGCAAAATAAATGTGTTTGGATCAGATGGGGTCCGGCATGTTTGGTGTGGACCCTACCACTGTGACTGCACAATAGCCTACCAACCATGAAACACAGAGGTGGGAGTGTGCCGATTTGGACACACTACATGAGAACAAAAGGTGTAGGAGAGATAACATTTATAAATCACACTATGAATTCAAGTCTCATATGCAAATACTGAATGAACAGATGATTCCCAGTTTCAAAAAGCTTGACAGGAGAGGAATTTCCAACATGACAATGACCCCAAACTCTCAGTATTTGCAGAGTTTGTAAATAAGAAAAAAGTGAAAGCTATAAGCTATAAGCTGGCTAAGTGTTTTCCCTGATTAAAACCAATAGAAAACCTTTTTAAAAGGGGAAGGTTGAGCAACAAAACCCCTCAGCAAAGAGCAGCTGAAAAGAATCATCTGAAGAAGCAAAACATCTCTCCACAGATTTGAACAAGACTGATAACATCCATGTCCATGAGAATCGAATCGGTCCTCCAAAATAAAGATGGGAATACAAAACATAAAAAACAAAACCCAAAAAAAACAGAATCTCATTGTGAAGGATCTGCTAACTTTTGTTGCAGTTCGTTCTTTAGTATGGACCTTTCATTATAATTTAATTAGTCGAACATTTCTGTTTTTTTTTTCAAATTAATTGGCTCCATTCTTCTTGGACTTTGGCAAAAAACAAATGAAACTGTATTAAATGTAGAGGATTTGTTACCTTTCAGTGATACTGTATACCGTACTCCAAAAGACACAAGTCTGAGTGGATCTCATAAAGTGGGAGATGAGTTCCAGACCCCCCCCCACAGGTAAAAATCTGTCTCAACTTAATATTTAAGTAGTTTTTCATATTGATAATGTGTTCACTCATTCATGAAGTCCCATAGCCTATGCAGTGCCACCTGTCTCACTATCAAAATAAAGCTTCAAAGAAAGCTGAACATCTCATAACCTCTCAAGAGGCTGCATATCAGCAGTAGTTTCTTTCATCAGGAAGGCCTGCACACACTGGGAGAAAGAAAAGTTGTTTTGCTCTCTCAAATTCTCTAACTTGGTCGAAATAAAAGTTTTCAAGATTCGAATAAAGTAGCTTCTTGTTAAGCAGCCACTGTGTGATTGTAGCCGAGGTGGAAGAGGTTTTCAGATAAAGTAACAGAAGTTAAAGAGTGTTTATCCTCTGTAATGTGACATATGTTGAAGGGAAATCAGAGTGTGTGTGTTAATACCACAAGGGTTTCAATCAAGTAGTACAAATTTGATTGGCCACCTCCTACACCTTCCTCACCTGGGTCATTAAATCAGTTAATAAATTAGCCCTCAACCAGATTCTTTTGAACATAAACCAAGGCTCTGCCATCTGAGATCCAAATACACTCTTCTGACCCATGATAACACTATGACAGCAGCCTACAGCCCAACAGTTAATCTTCAAGGGTACTAATGAGGTTAGCTATTTGCCCTAGGTCAAATTTGACTGGATAACTGATAATAATTGATTGGATATTTATGTATACACCCCTCAGTTAAAGATAAGTGATCAAAAATATGTTAAAATTTAAATTTTGAGTTAGATACTCTTTGCATTATGACTTTTAAACCGTGAAGTTTTCATATTTGTAAAACTCTCTGAGCCTATACAAAAGCAATTCTTATGTGGGGGATGTGAACCTAATATAAAGTCTACAGACCAAGAGGGAACACACAGGGACAAACACTAATGCTCACTGGGCCACACCAGGAAGGAAAACCAGGAAGCTAGAAAACTTTTTTGGCTTATGCACTTGGCAAGCTATTCATTTATTCAAGTGTCTAGTATCCAGTTCTTATTACATCCACAAAAATGTATTTATTTATTTTTTACATATTTGGGATTAAAGAGAGATAACTGAACAACTGACACAAGGACACAGGATTAAAACTTGGAATACTAATTGTGCAGCATAATGCCCCCTTTCACAGTTATACTATTATACATTATAGTAGCATTATTGTAACTGATAAACAAGTAGCAGAATTTTAATGTTGTAGCTTGTCTGCTTTATATACAATTAACAGAGTTTAACAGAGGAACATTTTTTTAATGAAATGATCACATTGTGTATAAATTTCAATAAGTAACTGACTAAAGCTTTCATATAATTTAAGATAGATAGATAGATAGATAGATAGATAGATAGATAGATAGATAGATAGATAGATAGATAGATAAGGTACAATATTTTACTTTAGAAATGTACTGAAGTAGAAGTAAAATATAGCATCAAATGGGAGTACTTGAGCACCTCAAAATAGAACCCGAATAGAGTATTTGAGGACAAGTACTGCGTCTCCCCAGCAGTAATCTGCTGTGTAAGCTAGAGTCTTTTGTTCCATGCAGCTCTGCTGGCCTCGCCAATACGTTAAGGAAATTGGTCCATCCTTCTCCATACAGACCTGTGGGTATTAGCCCCTCCACTGTTTCTATACCCTCCATCTATCTGTCCCTATGCAACTGCAAACCCACTCCTGCTGAGTAAGGCCTGCTCCTCCCAGACCACTGATTCTCCGGGTGGCACCACCTTGACCAGCAGTAAATGAGTGTGACATTTAAATCCTGGCGGCTGAAGTCTTGTCCGGTGATCTGACCACCAAGTCAGGAGCGGCCCGGCTCGGCCCCGGCTCAGCCCCGGGCCCCAGCACACACAGCCAATTAGGCGCAGATAAGCAGACCGAGAGGGAGGTTTTAGCCCTCCATTGTGCATAATGCAGCGCAGGAAGAAGAGCAGAAAGTGGGATTGCTTTCAGGAGTCGGTGGAGCTCTTTCTGCTGGTGAAATGGAGACTGCAGCTGGGGGGAAGAGATTAGCTGAAAGCCAGAGAAAGACACAGAAATGGAAAGAAAGAGAGAAGAAGAGATGGGGAGAGAGTGTGTGTGGGAGAGGGCGACACGATGAAGTTCCATAATGAGCAGATTTTGTGTTCTCTTGAGGCTTAAAGGATTCGAGATAAATCACATATTTCTTTTGCAGGGCATGCAATAAGTTTCTTTTGGACCCTGCTAATCACCCCCTCACCCTCTCCCATGCTTTGTCTCTCCCCGTCATTCATTTGTCTTTTTATTGAGCCTGCTCAGCACCGCCTCATTCCCCTCTCTCTCATGCTACAGTATCTATTCAGGGCTTATTCTGATGCCTTTATTCAAAGCAAGGTCATCAGTTCTGTCTTTAAGTCATCATCTTTAATGCTCAATGTTTTCATCCATTTGTTTTCAGGGTCATCTTCTTCTTCTCTCCGTCTTCTTCTGATTTAAAGTTTTTTCTTTAGCTTCCATTTCCTTACTGCACTCAGTGGCTTTCTCGCTGTCTCTCCATCTTCTTTCTCATCTATGTAATTCCTTTCCAGGAAGCCCTCAATTTTTCTTTTCCATCCCACACACAGTGCAGCTCTAAGATCAGCATTGGCTGCATGATCACACAAACTGTTTCTGGGACAGTCCTGTGTCCAGGCTGTACTGTTACAAGCTTGTGTCAGCTATGGTGTTTTCACACTTTTTTTAGGTCTCTCTTTATGTCAAAGCAGCACTGAACACCAAGCAGGGCGACATTCAGTACAAGTCAAGTTGAGTAAGTAACAGAGTTAAGGCCGAGCTGCAACCACTAAAAGTTGGAGATGATAAAACAATCAATAAATTAGGAAAAAGTACATTGACATTTATAGCAATTTTACAGCAGAAAGGTGTCCAAACATATTCCTTTGGTTAGTTGCATTAAAGGCATCATCAAAAGTTAGTTTTTTGTCATTTTTGTGAACTAAACATAGTCTAATGGAGCTCAAGTAGAAAAGAGTTGATTCAGAAATATATCTAAAGTTTGCTAACATTAGCTAACGTAGCCACTTACTGGAACAAGCAGAAAACACCTTAGCCCTGGCATTTGCTTTACAAGGTTGTTTTAGCTAACATGCTAGCAAAGATCTACCTGCTCATACATCCAGCATCCAGAAGAAAAATATTAGCATTCAAGTTGTGTGTACAGCCACCTGAAGAATGTAAGTCCAGCATTCATGACCTTTTTAGCTTTGTCATGTTCTCTGAGGAAAATATGTCTTTGGCCTCTTTAGCCGCTAAATGCTTCACTGTGTTCACCTGCTTTTACCTACTGGCTTAACTTCATCTGTCTGCTGCTTTGTGCTGGTACAGTTAGTTTCTCCTAGTGTTTTTCGCTGGCTGCTGCTGAGTAGAAATTTCTTGATGCTAAACCAAAGCAAAGAGGTAACTAAGGCAAAAAAGTGATGTAAAGTTACATGAAAAATGTTCCCTGCTGTTCTTTTCACCTTTAAAGAAATGCCTTCATACACAAAACAACACAGAACTATCTTCTCTTCTGGAACACAACTTTCTTTCTGCCTGTTTTGCTCACTGTCCTCCTTTTCCCCACATCATTTCTGCCACTATCAGAGACCCTGCTCCAAACACACACACACACACACACACACACACCACACACACACACACACACACACACACACACACACACACACACACACACACACCACACACACACACAGACCACATACATCTGTCTTTCACCTTTGGGAAGCTGTTAAATGGGCATAGCTGGTTCTCTCCCTTGGGAGCACAGTGAGGGAGAAGACTGGGTAGCAGTGAGAGGTGAAGGCTTGTGCTTAGCAGACTGTCAGAGAGCCCCAGCAGCCACCCTGCACTGCTGTGATGGGAGGTGTCTGAGGGGACTTATTACTAAAGCAGCTCATGGCACTGTCTGTGTGCTGAGGGTTTACGAATAATTGGAGCCTAGGAGTAGGAGTAGGTGTGTTGTGTCTTGTACTGTTTGAATTATGGTTCCTTAAAGTGCCCAGAGTTTTCGTCCACAAAATGCAACATGCATTTACACTGGACATGTTTGGAAGATTATATTTGATTTACTGTATTCATTTGGTTCATTTAGTGCAATGACAGCAAAGGCATCTAAACAAAAGTAAGCACAGAGAGGAGCCTGGAAAAGTGCAGTGTAGTTCATTAGGAGTGAGAACATATTCTCAGCCAAAAATAACAAATGAACCCAAATACAAAGTTTTATTGCCAGCAGTTCCTCATGCAAAACAACAAAACAAGGTGACAGCAATCTAAAGCTGATCTTCTTCAAGGCTAAAGTGTTTGTGTGTGTGTGTGTGTGTGTGTGTGTGTGTGTGTGTGTGTGTGTGTGTGTGTGTGTGTGTGTGTGTGTGTGTGTGTGTGTGTGTGTGTGTGTGTGCAGCACGTCGACCCGGGGTGCTGGAGGAGATCATTCATAACTTGGACTACTGTGATGTCCTGGTGCTTGGGGAGGAGCTGAGGCCAGGGCAGGAATCTCTCCAACTGCAGCGAAGCGCTCTGCTTGGAAAACACCTTGACGCCACCAACTCCACCTCTGGCATGTCTATATATGGTAGGTTACTATGGTAACAACATGATCAGATAGTTGGTTCCCATGATAACTACACTTAGTGCACTGCTACTATAGCGTGCCTTAATGTTACTAAATTGACAAACACACCTCTGTTGTTTCAGTCATCCCATTTACCCCCTGAGCTTTTTGTCCATGTTACGACTCCGTCTGCTGTTCTCTTTCATCTTCACAGGTGTAGACTCCATGTCCAACTATGAACAGGTGATCAGACAGGTACATTACTATAACTGGCAGCCCGGGCCACTACTAGAAAGAAGATTTCGCCTCACCTGCTCTGAGCTGAACGGACGCTACACCAGCAATGAGTTCAACCTGGAGGTTAGTGTGAACAACAGCTTTAGTGGTACAGATAGTTTTGAGAGTCAAGCTTCTCAAATTTGAGCCAGTATTCCATATTTTTACCTATCAATAACTGTTCTAGTATCAATCAGTTCAAGAAGAAAGGTGTCATCAAAGACACTGCTTCACATCCATAAAACTGGAGGTGTATGACACTGACAAATTAAAGCTAAAACAATTAGTCAATCAGTCTATTTATTTGATTGACAGAAATTTAATCTGCAGTTATTTTAATTATTGATTAATCGTTTTATACTATATGGTTCCAGCTGCACATATGGGAGAATTTGCTGCTGTTCTTCAACATACATGATAGTTACCTGAAGGGGAAAAAAATGAACAGATTAACTGAAAATGAAAGTAATTGTTAGTTGCAGCCCTGCCGGTGTTATAATGGATATTTTACAATGATGAAACTTTTTAAACAGTGAGCAAAGTTTGCACCATCATAATTTAGCTTAATGAGTGCTTTCAGTAATGGGAGGAAATGGGAGCAAATGGGAGGAAATAAAGATGGCAGATCTAACCCACCCAGTTGCACAATAAGTGCTCCTTTTCAAAAATCAGTAAGATCACTGATGATAGTGGGCAGCAAAGCACTAGATATCACTACAGGCCATGCTGCTTTTTACCAGCAAGGAAACCAAAGTGATTCAGAGCAAATTTATGAGACTCAGTGGGCAAATCCAGCAGCATCACTTTCACCCGTAGTAGCAAAACATCCTTTGGATACTATCAGTTGAAATTTGACTAAACTTTATGCGAGAAAAAAACATGCACATATAGTGAGGCAAAAAAATGTCAAAAAACGTCATAGTATAATAAGGCCAAAGAACGTCACAATACAGCATAGTATACTAAGGCATAAAATTCTCAAAAAACGTCATTAAACTTTTTATTGGCATAAAAGGGACAATACCCTTATGGAACCCAAGGAGGCCCAGATTGAACATGCAAACACCACACAGAAATGTTCCAACGGAGATTTGAACCCGGAACCTTGGTACAGAGACGCAATATTTCTGACCACTCTTCTACTGTGTCTGCCAATTAATGATGCATATCATAGTAAGGCAAAAAAACATCATACTATAGAAAGACAAAAAAAGTCAAAATAGAGGCATAGGATGGTAAGTCATAAAACTGTCAAAAAAAACGTCATAATATACTATGGCATAAAACGTCACAGTGTATTAAGGAATAAAAACATCAAAAAATGTCATAGTATAATAAAGCATAAAATTGTCAAAAAATGTCATTGTATACTATGGCATGAGACGTCATAGTATAGTAAGGCATAAAATTATCAAAAAAGATCAAAGTAAACTATGGCATTAAACGGCATAGTATAGTAAGGCATTACAATGTCATAAAATGTCATAGTATAGCAAGGCAAAAAAACGTCAAACAACGTCATAGTATAATAAGGCAAAAAAAAATCACAAAACATCATAGCATGATAAGGTATGAAATTGTCAGAAAACGTCATGGTATAATAAGCTATAAAATGGTCAAAAAATGTCATAGCATACTACAGCATAAAATCTCATAGTATGTAAAGGCATAAAATTGACAAAAAACGTCATGGCATAAAATGTCATAATATAGTAAGGCAAAAAAAACGACATAGTATAATAAGATATAAAGACGTCACAGTATATTGAGACCTGAAAATTGAAAAAAGTGACATAGTGTAGTATGTCAAAAATTGAAAAAAATGACATAGTATGGTATGGCAAAAAATTTGAAAAAACAACAAATTTTAATAAGGCATGAAAACATCAAAAAACATCATAGCATAATAAGATATAAAGACATCATAGTATACTGAGGCCTGAAAATTGAAAAAAATGACATGGTATAGTATGGCAAAAAAATGTAAAAAAATGACATAGTATAGTATGGCAAAAAATGTAAAAAAGCAACAAATTTTAAAAAGGCACAAAAACATCAAAAAACGTCATAGTATAATAAGAAATAAAGACGTCATGGTATATTGAGGCCTGAAAATTGAAAAAAATGACATAGTATAGTAGGTCAGAAATTGAAAAAATTGACATAGTATAGTATGGCGAAAAATGTGAAAAAACAACAAATTTTGATAAGGCATGAAAACATCAAAAAGCAATATAGCATAATAAGATATAAAGACATCATATTATACTGAGGCCTGAAAATTGAAAAAAAATTGCATCGTGTAGTATGTCAAAAATTGAAAAAAATGACATAGTATAGTATGGCAAAAAAAGTGAAAAAAGGACATAGTATAGTATGGCTTAAAAACATCAAAAAACTTCATGGTATAATAAGATATGAAGACATCATAGTATACTGAGGTAAAAAAATGTGAAAAAACGACATAGTATAGTATGGCAAATAATGTAAAAAACAACAAAGTTTAATAAGGCATAAAAACATCAAAAAACGTCATAGTATAATAAGATATAAAGACATCATCGTATACTGAGGCCTGAAAATTGAAAAAAAATGGCATAGTATAGTATGCCAAAAAAAGTGAAGAAACGACATAGTATAGTATGGTAAATAATGTAAAAAACAACAAAGTTTAATAAGGCATAAAAACATCAAAAAACATCATAGCATAATAAGATATAAAGACATCATAGTATACTGAGGCCTGAAAATTGAAAAAAATGACATGGTATAGTATGGCAAAAAAATGTAAAAAAACGACATAGTATAGAATGGCAAAAAATGTAAAAAAACAACAAAGTTTTTAATAAGGCATAAAAACATCAAAAAACGTCATAGTATGATAAGACATAAAGATGTCACAGTATATTGAGGCCTGAAAATTTAAAAAAATGATATAGTATAGTATGGCATAATTGAAAAAATTGAAATAGTATAGTATGGCAAAAAATGTGAAAAAAAACAAATTTTAATAAGGCATAAAAACATCAAAAAACGACATAGTATAATAAGATATAAAGACATCATAGTATATCGAGGCCTGAAAATTGAAAAAAATGACATAGTATAGTATGATAAAAAAATGTAAAAAAACAACAAAGTTTAATAAGGCATAAAAACATCAAAAAACATCATAGTATAATAAGATATAAAGAGATCATAGTATACTGAGGCCTGAAAATTGAAAAAAATGACATAGTATAGTATGATAAAAAAATGTAAAAAAACAACAAAGTTTAATAAGGCATAAAAACATCAAAAAACATCATAGTATAATAAGATATAAAGAGATCATAGTATACTGAGGCCTGAAAATTGAAAAAAATGACATAGTATAGTATGATAAAAAAATGTAAAAAAACAACAAAGTTTAATAAGGCATAAAAACATCAAAAAACATCATAGTATAATAAGATATAAAGAGATCATAGTATACTGAGGCCTGAAAATTGAAAAAAATGACATAGTATAGTATGATAAAAAAATGTAAAAAAACAACAAAGTTTAATAAGGCATAAAAACATCAAAAAACATCATAGTATAATAAGATATAAAGAGATCATAGTATACTGAGGCCTGAAAATTGAAAAAAATGACATAGTATAGTATGATAAAAAAATGTAAAAAAACAACAAAGTTTAATAAGGCATAAAAACATCAAAAAACATCATAGTATAATAAGATATAAAGAGATCATAGTATACTGAGGCCTGAAAATTGAAAAAAATGACATAGTATAGTATGATAAAAAAATGTAAAAAAACAACAAAGTTTAATAAGGCATAAAAACATCAAAAAACATCATAGTATAATAAGATATAAAGAGATCATAGTATACTGAGGCCTGAAAATTGAAAAAAATGACATAGTATAGTATGATAAAAAAATGTAAAAAAACAACAAAGTTTAATAAGGCATAAAAACATCAAAAAACATCATAGTATAATAAGATATAAAGAGATCATAGTATACTGAGGCCTGAAAATTGAAAAAAATGACATAGTATAGTATGATAAAAAAATGTAAAAAAACAACAAAGTTTAATAAGGCATAAAAACATCAAAAAACATCATAGTATAATAAGATATAAAGAGATCATAGTATACTGAGGCCTGAAAATTGAAAAAAATGACATAGTATAGTATGATAAAAAAATGTAAAAAAACAACAAAGTTTAATAAGGCATAAAAACATCAAAAAACATCATAGTATAATAAGATATAAAGAGATCATAGTATACTGAGGCCTGAAAATTGAAAAAAATGACATAGTATAGTATGATAAAAAAATGTAAAAAAACAACAAAGTTTAATAAGGCATAAAAACATCAAAAAACATCATAGTATAATAAGATATAAAGAGATCATAGTATACTGAGGCCTGAAAATTGAAAAAAATGACATAGTATAGTATGATAAAAAAATGTAAAAAAACAACAAAGTTTAATAAGGCATAAAAACATCAAAAAACATCATAGTATAATAAGATATAAAGAGATCATAGTATACTGAGGCCTGAAAATTGAAAAAAATGACATAGTATAGTATGATAAAAAAATGTAAAAAAACAACAAAGTTTAATAAGGCATAAAAACATCAAAAAACATCATAGTATAATAAGATATAAAGAGATCATAGTATACTGAGGCCTGAAAATTGAAAAAAATGACATAGTATAGTATGGCAAAAAAAATTGAAAAAACGACGTAGTATAGTATGGTGAAAAATGTGAAAAAACAACAAATTTCTATAAGGCATAAAAACCTCAAAAAACGTCATAATATAATAAGATATGAAGACGTTACAGTATATTGAGGCCTGAAAATTAAAAAAAATGACATAATATAGTATGGCACAAAATGTGAATAAACAAAAAATTTTAATAAGGCATAAAAACATCAAAAAACGTCATAGTATAATAAGAAATAAAGACGTCATAGTATATTGAGGCCTAAAAATTGAAAAAATGACATAGTATAGTGTGGCAAAAAATGTGAAAAAACGACATAGTATAGTATGGCAAAAAATGTGAAAAAAAACCAAAGT